ACCAACCAAGCAATCAATCAATCAATCAATCAATCATTCAAATCAATCAATCAATCAATCAACCAGCCAACCAACCAACCAACCAACCAACCAACCAACCAACCAACCAGCCAGCCAGCCAGCCAGCCAACCAACCAACCAACCAACAAACCAACCAACCAACCAACCAACCAACCAATCAATCAATCAATCAATCAATCAATCAACCAGCCAATCAATCAATCATTCAATCATTCCTTTTCCTTCATTCATTTAATCGATCGATCAATCAAACTGCCTGTCATGACGCACCTTATGACCAAAAAATGTATATTGGCTATATTGATCCACGAGGCATTTGGCCTTTTCTTTAAAGTTGGCATCAGCGGAAGCGGACCACCAGTCGCGCAAATTCCCATGCTTGTCATACTGCCGACCTGGAATTCAATGATAGATTTCATCAATACGCGCATATTGAATGCCGGTATACTCCAAGTTATGAAGAAGTAACTAGTGAGACCTGCTGAGATCGCAGAATTTTTTTCTGACCAAAGCCTGTAACAAAAACGGCCAGCTTGTTGTGCGACATTGTAGGGTTGAAGACGACGCTTTTGATTTAGGCCAAATTAGACGGCACCATTTTTGCCTACAACCATCTTATGCAACCTAGGAAAAAGTCGCGCTCTTTAAATGTTGTAAATTTAATGTAAATATGATGTAAGTGTCCAAAATTCTGTAAATTTGATGTAAACGATTTCTATTAAAAATTTACAGAAGTTTGGACACTTACATCATATTTACATCAAATTTACAACCTTTAAAGCGCGCAATTTTTTCCAGTGAGCTCGCGTAAGTCATCATTACGTCAACATGCCTAACTGAGGGATTTACTGAAAACAACCGCTTTAAAATCCTTTCCACAGGTTGTAGCCATGCTTCAATATGACTTACGAAGGTTGCATGCGATGGTTGTATCCAAAAGGGTAATTCAATTCTTTAAGGAGTAAAAACATATGCAGCAAGTTGGAACAAATGCGCGCCGATTGGATGGAAGAATCAAGATTGCGACTATCAAAATGTTGCACGACGATAAGAGTGATGTGCTATAAAAAGCGAGCAAAAAAAAAAACCAGCAAAATTATCGCAGGAAACCCAAAATCCAGTTTAAGACCACACAGGCCATAAAACTATATTCGACAGCAAGTACCTGAAGAATCAAGTGTGATGTGCTATAAAAAGCGAGCAAAAAAACCCAGCAAATTTATCGCAGGAAACCCAAAATTCAGTGTAAGACCACACAGGCCATAAAACTATATTCGACCGCAAGTACCTGATGAATCAAACCCGTGTGTTAGCTCGTGTCCAATCACCATTCCTATTGCCCCGTACTGCATGTATCTAACAAAACAATTATAGTAATTTCTTTATGAGAAATTTCAATAAGGAAAACCTGGGAGTCAATTAAAATATCACACAATATAAGATCTGAAATCGTAATTTAAGGCTGATTTACACGGCACGATTGTCTCGTGCGATTTGTAGTATACAACTTGAATCGCGCAGTGTAAATGCCCCTACGACTTGTCTACAACAGTCGTATGCAACCTACGACTTGTAGTAGGATTTTGAACCACTGCTTAAAATCCTACGACTTGTAGTAGGAAAATCGTATACTNATCTATGGAGATGATGGCTTTACAACAAATTTTTTAAATTAATAATACAGCAATAATTGAAAAGTTTATAAATTTCTTGCTGACAGTGTTCGTTTCTTGCATATGTAATCCAAGATGGCGAACGCAACAATTTCATCAAAGATGGCGGCCGTAACATTTAAATCCAATATGGCGGCTGGTAAGTATGGTCTTGAAAAGTTGGTAGGTATGCTCGACGGACCTTTTTAGAGTCCAAAATAAAACCCTCGCGTACCTTTTAGGGTCCTGAGCTAACTCCGTACCTTTTAGGGTCAATTTTCGAAGAACGGGAAAAAAAATTATAGATTATCTTCCAGATTCTAGAAAATAACTTACGAGTTTCTTTTGTTTGGTTTTCCATATAAATTGATTCGTTGCATTCTCATCAAGTAATTTTCTGCTACGATGTTGTCGAAATAATCATCTGAAATCTTGAGCTGCAAAAATGAAGGCGTTTGATAATCATGATGATGATGTTAAATTGTAGTTATAATGATACTACCGAACCTGCCTTTACCGGTCACTCTCGATTTACCGGCTTAACAAAGGTTCGACTATAATAACAGAACAATATGCCAAATCCACCGACGCCTTTTTGTACGACTAAAGCATGATGGGMGTTGTAGTCCTTTCTACAATTCCCATCATACTTTGCTACACAAAATGGCTTTGTTACCAATCTCGAGCCCAGAGTCTTCACGGCTAATGTCAGCGGTATGCTGACGCCGGAAAGACTCTGGAGGAATCGACTGAACCTGCGACGCTTTTCCGTCGCAAATTAGGTCAGTTTTGTTTTCTGATTTTAGAGCATTAAAATGACAAAAAAGGAGGTTTAACACAACTTAGTTAAGGAACGGTATTTACACCTTTTTAAAAGCAAAAATGTGTGAAAACATGTGTGGTTATACGATAAAAGTAGGATATTTTTGATCAAACAGGCGAGCTCGCGCTGGCGACTTGGAAAACCGACTTGAAAACAGTGCGCGCTCGCGTCATTTTCAACCAATCACGAATCGAGAAAAAATGGACTCCTCCAGAGTCTCTCACGCATTGACATCCGCTGGATGGCAAAAGTGCGGGCTCTGGGTACGAGATTGCTTTGTTACACATTCGATCTACTCCATACACACATAACAAGTCAACAACAACAACAACAACAACAACAACAACAACAACAACAACAACAGCAACAACAACAACAACAACAATTTACTGACATTTCGTTCGTCGGAGTAAAGAGAAATACAAAATGATTAAAACTGTATGGTAATGATAAAGGATGGACTTACCAGTTTATATTTCTCATTAAGTTTCTTAGGGTCTTTGATGAAAGATGGGTA